TGCCAGGGAGTGAGGTCAGTTCGAAGGCACCAAGTAATACCCGTTGAGCGGGCTTAACGTCCTCAGGATGTCTGATTACCTGGACACTCGGAGGTCAAGGTCACTCTCATTCACCTCGAGACGGTCTCTAACATGCGGGAGTCTTGATGTTGCCCCCTCCACCTGGGGGGGGGAGCTCGGGTCACCCTGGCCTACGTGCGGTCACATGTAATTGTCCGTGCACCCACACCACTCGTGATACCGCTGTTACTTCCCGCACCGGCGATTTATGCTAAATTTTATTCGAGTTAAACTCGATACGGCTGAGTCACCCAGAAGTGTCCGAGTTCAGGTTCAAGTCGAATTGAATTTCTCGGAGTCTTATCGATTATCGATAAGTTATCGTCTGTACTGACGTGGCGGTTCCAGGGTTTCCTGTGGTTTCCCATGTGACTCCTGATGTTCCAGAAACTGAGGGAGACCCCCGGATCATTCACGGTATCAATAAAAAGTACTTTCAACAGCTGTGAAATGTCAATGATATCACAAAATGGCGGCCAACGTACAGTCCTGTATCTGAATTAGTCGATAAATTGAAGTTGAATGTTGTCTTAAATCCTTAAATTTTCTCCAATTTTTGTGTCCAAGCATATGTCCCTCTGCGCCGTTGACTGCGCAGTGTCGCGCCCCCCGGCAGAGGGGGGGGCTCTCTAAAGCGTAAATTCGTGGAATTCTGAGCCCCGATGCTGAAATAATCGGCTCTACCGCATCTGATCCTTCATGTTACCTCGTACATACCAATTCCAATTACATTCTCCGGCATCTCCTGGCAAAACTTCAAGCGAGCTCTTGTAAGTGGGTACGCAATATAAATTCCAGGGCATTTCCGGGTTTCCAAGATAGACAACAAAACTGGGCTTTCGAGGCGCACCCGCCTCACAACTATGATTACTCGCCTCTACAGATACCTCTTTCGCTTCCCCAACTCTCCGTATTGCGGTGTTTTATACATGTACCTCTCTTTCAGTGAAAACTTATACTGGCACCTTGATGGGAAGCAGGTATGCACGCTTCTTTCGTGCCGAGATAGCCGCTGGGCAGTTTAAACCCCTTTTAAAGAGAAAAAAATGTGGAATTCCAAGAGGGAGGGAAAAATGTCGGCACCGATGGATTTTTAAGAGAAATTACTCTTCACACCGAAATTTTCCACTTTCCCGGTGGAAATTCATCGATATTCCCACCCCCAACTCATCTGAGTATTCAATTTCAATTGAATTTCCACAGTTCCATTTCCTAATTCAGCCACTGAATTACTCATTCATCTTGAAACTTCAAGAAAATTGAGTTTTCTCAGTTTTTCCGGGGAAGGAAAAAGCCGATGATTACGTTCTCAATTAATTAGATAGTTTCCAACTTTTGAAATATATTTTGATGATGAGAAAAATGAGGAGGGGGTGACTCAGTCTATGAGTATCTCTCTGAATTTTCCTTTTTTATCTCCCTCTCATTTTTGTCGAAACCAGTTTGACTGTCAGAACCTGAACAAGGATACCTCTGTATAGTAGGATCCTGACAAGTGATCGAACCGCTTTTTCTCCAGTGGTTTGCTGGATATAAAAAGTTTGTAGGAAAAAGTCGTAAAAACTGGGAAGTTAAGAGAAGACTTTTCAAAGTTGTTTATAATTTTATATCGAAACCCGTAGTTTCCTGCTTCTATTATTATTATTTTTCATTTGTCATTTAAATAAAGGCGAATGTACGCATTGCGCTGGGTGGATTAGGTGGAAGAGAAGTGGAGAGTATGATAAGAGAAATTAATCGGTGATGAATAATGAAGAATGTTAATGGCCACTGGTGTCTCATCACTCTCTAGTTATTTCGAGAATTGAGGCCCTCGTTTCTTGATATGTCTCGGTGATATCAGTCGTGGAGAGAACAGAACTCAATCTCTCAATTGGTGAAATCTATATTACATGTGTAATTCAATGCTTTATCGCTTTTAATCTTGTGACTATTGTCAGGGCAAATACTATTCGACTTTCTCGATGGTTATTTTATTATTTTATCGCCAGTTTCGACGATAAGATTTAATTTCATAATTTCAACATAATTTTAAACAATACTCCCCCGCTTTTATGTGGAAAACGAGTCGGATTACGTTTACCAGGAAGTAACGAGAGATTATGTTTCGATGCATGTGAATTACGCACTTCATGAGTTCAAAGAATAATATGTATTCTTCGGGTATTGAATGGATCGTAGGGGACAAGGGAATTTCGGATTATCTAACGACTTGTTGAACAATAGACTTTGTGATTGGATTATGTGATTTCGAAAGTACTAGGAAGGGATGAATCACTCGATGGTTTTATGTGGAGGGAATTTTTTTTTATAAATCCTGAGGCGACTATTTATTCTTTATTTATCCTGACGGTCTTCATTCAAAAATTGCTGTTTTTTGAGTGAAATTTCACAGAGAGATATTTTGGGAGATTTATCCACGCGGAAGAAATTTATAATAAATTATTTAGAAATTGTTTTTTTGGGGATTGAGAGTCTGTGGGCCGAGGTAAAAGTACTTTCACTACTTTTTATTCAGTAATTGATATATGTCTCGTCTGGTTTTGACTGGCGATTTTAAAGTGAAAGGGAATTTTGATGAATCATTAGGGATTTTCCATTTATTTCAATGGTGAAAAATCTCGTTGGGGTATCAACAAACATCTCGCTGAAGCCATTGGCTTGAAGAACTGCTAAGTGTACAGACCTTGAGGCCCAACTCTGTATGCCTCAATTTAATATGCAGCTCCTGCAAACTTTGTGTTTTATGTATTCTCACTATTTACTGCCGCTATTTTCCCGATTTTTCCGCGTCTTTTTGCCATTTTTTTCACAACTCGGAACATCGGAAAAATTCTGATATTCCCATGGATCTTCACCCTAAAATACCGCAACCACTCGACTCATCGGTTTAAAGAAATAAAAATTGCATTAAACTAAAACCGCAATTTTTTTCAAAAAAACTCATTTTCATTTAAAAAAATGGATTTTTTATCGATTTCTCGATGAAAATCGATCCCCCGCCATTTTGTGGTGAGTGATAATGAGGAAAATGGCGGAAATTGAATACTTTCTTCGAATCTCTCTCAAGTAATCATCTCCCTGTCTTGTAATCATCATTTAGCGTCACCGCTCGTTGCATTTCCTCATGTTATATTTAAAACAAACTCTTGCAAACAATTTCCACGTGCACTTGAATATCTTCCCTGAAATTCCTCGACATACACCGAAGAATGGCGTTTGGGTCGAGCAGATAGTGTTGGTAATGGCGGTGTTGTGCGGTGGTAGAGATCAACTCTCAGGTTATCGTGGTATTGGTTAACTACCGTACATCAAGGCCATCCACTCGTATCCTTTTTTTTTTCGAGGGCTATCATTTCTCGGACACCATAATTTTGCATCTACTGCAGCTAAACTCGTGCCAAGTTCGAGTCCATTGAGAACTCACGGCAATTCCAAAAACTTAAAATCAACGATTCCACGGAGAAATCCATCGATATATTCACCAACCATTTAAACTGTAATCCGAGACGAGTGAATGGAGTGAGATTCCTTTCGAGTGTTTATTACATTAACGCAAATGGTCTTTGGAGCACAGGTGGAAGGTAAATTGCAGAATGGAGTCACGGAATCTGAGCCAAGGCAACTCCACTCCCTAGAAAATCCAACCGATCATTGCCATTACTATTTTATCATTAAGATCATTATAGTCTGTCCAAATGAACTCTGGAATTCGGTGATTACAATGAAGACTGCAATTACACCATTCGATTAACTCATAATAATGATTTACAATGATTTTAATGATTTGCCGATTGGCGAAATCAAATGACGAGATGAATAACTCAAACCGACAATTCCACAGGGAAAAGTACAATAAATAATCCATTATGGTGGATGCACCAATGCATCATGTCTCCCTTTTGGTGTAGGAACGCTTTCACCGCGTTGTACGTGTCACAAGTCACATTTCTTACATCTCGTCATCCAAGGGATCTCCACTGATTGCATCTACCGGTTCTTTCTCACAATCAGAAGAAACCTCTATTTCAGGAAGAAATAACATAAAAAATTTCACCATCGGTGTGAAAAATACGGAATAACACACGCATCCACTGAAAAGCTGTTATTTTATTGATGAATGTCCATCGGAATAGTTGACGAGCATTGCCTGGGGGTATCTTTCACCACCGTCATTACGATACTTGTGGAAAATTCAACAGCCGGTGTAATACAACTATTGCCCACGTCTTTTGCAGCCAATGGCTTCTGGTCGCTCGTAAACTTTCACCGTGTACTGCCCATTCCCCACCAACTTTCTGTACGCGTAACATTTATTACTCGTCCCCCTGCCACTCCACCATTTCAAAATTAATATCACTCATTTCTTCAACCAACGGGGAGAAATTAATAATTATGAATATTGAATTATTGATATTTTCGTGGAGAAAAATTGATGGGATCTTATGGTGGAATTAATGCACGAGTGGAAGTCATTTAATGGATGATTTTATCTTGGGATTTTAATCGCACGCTGCGATGTGGAATGATAAATAAATTTTTCTCGATAACTATTGACGATTCTTGATGATTATTAATGATTAATAAATGATTATTGTATCATTCAGGCCAAATATATGAAAATAATTAATTTAGTTCGCTGTTAATTATTGTTTTTAATTTAATTTGTACTTTTTTTTTTGGGTGCTGGAATTTTTCCGACGTTTACGAGTTGAAGTAATAGTAATGGGGACTGAATTTTCGGTTGAAGATATGATTAAACAAAAATTTTAAAGAGTGCTGAATCAGGCCCCAGGGGTCCCAAGGGTCCTGTGGGTCCCGTGGGTCCCAGGGGATTGTATTTTCGTTTTTTAGGGGCTTTTCATCGGCGCGATGACTAAATCATTATTGATCTCATCTGAATGATAAATAAATATGGTAAATCTTGGGAATTCCATCAGGTTCAGAGGCTGGCTGAGTACGAGAGATACCTGGGCCACGAATCCCGTGATTTATCGAGCTCAACCACAAACATAACAAGCGGAGTACCGCGTGGACAGTTGGATGGTGACCTTCACCGTATCCAGGATCTTTTTCCCAACGACAACCTGCGTCTGCATGAGAGAGACGTACTAACTACGGTAAGCTATATAATCCATACACACTGGGAAAAGGCATTACTTCTTTGTATGTAGACCTTTAAAGACTATTACACCTAATTGCACTTTGAGTCAACTCCACCACTTCAATCCTCATTTGTCGTTACCCAACGTTGAAGTCTCTATCGTTTCTAGGAACGCAGGTTCATGGATTTATTTATTTTTTTTTTTATATTATTCTCGAATGATCTTGGCGGAATGATTTTGTTGCTGCTAGGATATCTCACGTGATATTTCAGTGCATTTGGATGACACTAGGGGTCTTAATGGATGAAAATACTGGTGCGGGGGGGCTGAGCCCCTCCGATCGGGGAATGGGGGCTCCCCCCCTCCCCCTCTCTCTCGTTCTGAAAATGGGATTTTTGAGGGATATGCAATTGGAGGAATTGTAATCAACCGGAAATTCATGTTGTACGATAGGTTTTATCGAGAGAGTCGATTTTCTTGGCGATTGCTAATTCTTTTGAGTTTTCTTTGCATTCAGATCGTGGATTATCCCTCTGAAGGTACGATCTCTTCGTGATCTCTGTATATGAAAGATTTCAATTCAGATCTGACGGAAATAAAAATATTCAAACTCTTGTATTATCCGTGATATAGTAAGGATTAGGCAAATCAAAGAGGGAATAGTCACCTCGTCTATTTGACTCACCCATATTGTCACGTACATTTGAAAGAGGATTACGAATCATTAGAAACAATAATTCACCTCAGCCTCGCCAAGGAATGCTGAGAATTGTAAAGCGGACGGGTGTGTTAGCACCGTTGCATGCCGCATGCTCGTTCATCCATTCGTTGAATCCTTGAAACGTGAATATTAAATCACATTTTTTGTACTGCAGAAGCCGAAGAGTTTGGTGAGGAAGAGGAATGGCACGAATGCTAACCGATTGAGTCGAGCATTATCCCAAAAAAATCTTCAGTGCGTCGAGACGCCGTCGGGTGCGCCCAAGTCGCCGCCCAGAAAATTTCTGTTGGAAACACCAGTGCAGTTTACAACGGTGGGTCCCAGCGACAGTCTTTTTGAAGAGTTGATCGATGGTTTGGGTTTATTGATGTTGATCTTTTGGTGTTGCAGGGTATGCAATCGCAGGACAGACATCTATTTCTCTTCTCCGATCTTCTTCTGGTTGGGAAGGCACGCAGTGGTGGTACCTTCAAGCTCAAGCAGACTGTCAAGATGAGTGAACTCTGGATAACAGCTGGACACATCGAGGATGTCGCCGAGACCAACAAATCTCAAGAGACTAGTTTTGTTCTCGGCTGGCCTACGACCAATGTTGTTGCCACTTTTATGTACGTGAGAGTTTGAATACAAATCGTAATGCGTGATTTCCAATCTACCGTTTAAGCATTCCAGTTTTACGAACAACATCGATGAATTAACGGAATAATACAAAGTGATAAATGTAAAACAAATTACCACACGGTAGCGCATTGCTAATTTATTAGCAAAAAAAGCTACGCCGCATGAGGACAAAGATAATTTGCGATTTGTCATTGCCTCGAGTCACTGCGCATTTACCATTGTTCTCATTAGTCTTTCTGAGGAAGAAGGAAAAACTATTGGCATTTGTCTTTAAAGCGCGGAATTCTCATGTTGTTTGTCATTACAGGACGGCAGCGGCTAGAGATCTCTGGTGGACCAAACTCGCGGAAATCGTTCGGGGGGAGAGCATCAAAGAGCCGTCTGACACTAATATCCAAGTTGTGTATCACGATAGTGAGACCAACACTGAATACGTAAGTTTGAGTTATCCCTCTCTCAATTTATGAGAAAATGGCATTGAACTCCAATTTTCAATTCATTTATCCCGAAATTGAATGTATTCATTTAGCATACATTGTGTTTTCGAAATGAATTAACTGATTTTTTCACACCTCTTCAGTGCAAAACAATAATGGTGAACTCAGAGATGACCGCATCAGCCTGCGTGAACCTGGCGACGCGTCTGCTGGATCTCCAGGGTTCGTTCCAGCTGTGGGCGCGAACCTCTCTAGACGAGGCGCCATATCCTTTAATCGGTCAAGAGCGGCCGTTCGCGATAAAGCTGTCTAACCTGCGCCACACCCTCTCAGCCGAAGAGGGCTTTGACCTGGAGCACTGCAACAAGAGCGGACACGACACGTGCCACTTCATTCTGCGACCGACTCTGAAGTCTCCACTGAAGAAGAGCAAATCGAAGATCACAGGTTTGCTCCGCCGATCGCTGTCCCTCAATCCAAATATCTTCGGGGTAAACCTCTCTCGACTAGAAGAAAACGGTCTGCCGAAGCCAGTGCAGATGATGTTGCAGCAGCTGTTCGCAAAGGGCCCGTTCATCCAGGGAATCTTCAGGAAATCCGCCAATGTGAGAATTGTCCGAGAGCTGCGGGATCAGATTGAGTCGACCGGTGACTCGAGTTGTCTTGAAGATGCTCCAATAATAGCAGTAGCTTCTCTTCTGAAGGACTTTCTCCGCTCCCTTCCCGATCCTCTCCTGACGTCTCATCTGTTTCCTTTGTGGATGGCATCCTTGGACACCAGTAACTCAGTCCAAACCATCAAAACAATTCTCGACAGGCTGCCAAAAGCCAACTACAATCTTCTGTCTCATCTGATCTGCGTGTTGCATCACATCGCCAGAAGATCGAAACATAATCTGATGTGCGCAAGTAATCTAGGGGTCTGCTGTGGCCCCAGCCTCTTGTGGTCGTCAAGCCCAACTGTCAATCAGAGTCGAGCGATTCCAGCCCTCACTGAGATTCTCATTCGAAACTGTGAGGTACTCTTCGGTGATGGTGTAACGTTACTTTTAGGAGAAGAACGCAGCGACAGTGGCGCTGAGGAAAGCACAGACAGTCTCCACTCAGGAGGACTGTCCTTAGATAGCCTAGACTTGACTGAACCACCGCGGAAGGACCACATGTCCCTCTCCAGAGACTCTGGCCTCACCCTCTCCGACTGCCAGCTATTCATTCCCGAATCGCCCGTCAGCTCTGAAGATCTTGCTGTTAACGCTTCTACATCGTTTGACAAATCGTCGAATGACAAGGATAAATCGGCCCTCAAGGCTTATGTCAGGGTCTACACGGGTGGTTGGGATGATCGTCTGCATTCGTATCAGAATGCGGATCATGGGTTTGACGGTGACAAGCAGAACTACTCGAACTCGAACCCTAATTTCCAGAGGCAGGACTGGTTAAGGGCGCAGCTAAAGCGGACGAGGAACTCGAAGCTCGAGGAGGAGCACAGAAAGGAAAGGTTTGAAGAGAAACATTACACCAGGGAATACAGACAGGGAATCCTGAAGGAAAGTATCGAGAGTTGCAAGGAGATCGTCTTCAGACAGCCCAGTCTCAAGGAAAGCGAGACCGAGTCGGAGGCTGAGAGATACGATTTCAAGAAGGAGATGCTCTTAGATTTCAAGAAGAGATCAGACCTGTACACCAGGACCTCACCGGTCTCTCAGAATGAGAGCTATAATTCGGAGATTTATGAATTCAAGAAAGTCAAGAATGAGATATATATCACTTTGAATAAGGAGACACGTGGGGAGAGGTATGACAGCATCTATGGGAATAGAGAGAATGCTGGTGAGGGCTATGAGAGGACGGATATTTATAACTTCAAGCAAGTCGAGACTAGTGATTCTGGGGAGGATGGCAGGACGTGGATCGAGGAGACACCACCTCCACTGCCTCCAAGGCTCAAGCATCTGCCGCCTGTTCATATGAGTCTTGAGGACAGGCACAGGATTGCGGGAAGATCTAAGTCCCTTCCACCTCCTCCACCGTACAGACCACCTCCTCAACCCCGGGGAAATATTGCCAGCAGGCATATAGGCTACTCTAGATCCGTTGTTGATGATGAGAGCTATGTTTGAGATTTGGATTTGCATTGGATTTTACTGGAATATATTGAGATAAACATTCCAAAAATCCAAAATTCAAATCAGAAATTCACACTTTATGTAGAAATTAGATCCAATTTCTACGGAAGTCTGTGGATTGAAACGTTTGAGATGTTTGAATGTCTCAACTTTCGGACGTGTCAGGACTTCTGAATAAAATTGTTTGCGATGACTTGCAATTATCGGGAGATTACTGCAAACAAACATGACAGTCGCTCAATTGCCGGATTGATCGCGTGGAAAACTCGATCGATTCGCATTTACTAAAGAATATTTTTATAATAAAACGATTGTAGAGAACGAGCCGACGTGTTATTGGAGATAGCTTAAATGTAATTTTTATGAGAGACTTATTTCTCGTCTTATGACAAATTATTTTTCTATTTGCATTATATCAAGTGCGTTTACACCTAGTCTGAATTATTGTTACTCTTCATCGTAGGGGAAACACTCAACTCAAGAAAGATTGATGCCAGATTGATGTTGATGTTATTAATACAGCTGTTGATTTAATTCGTAATGTGAGGGCGAAGCAAACGGATGGATTGTTGTGTATATTTTGTTTCGGGTGCTTCCATGAGACTTGAGATTCTTATTGTTATTTTTAAGATTGAATTCAGCTGTTGGGAGGACTAAAATACATCAGCGGTGACCAAACTCTTCAGAAATCAGAAAATTATCCGTCTTTTTTTATAAAGACCTTGCGCTGTCTCTGAAAAATACTATTCACAGTTTCTATTAGAATTTTATTGAAATATTCTATTTGTTTTTGTGCCAAAATCGGAATCGAATAAGATAAAGATTTTTCTTTATGGGATTTTGACAAAGCGCTTGGATAATTTAATCCTGAAAATTATTCTTTCATTTTGTTTTAATGGCGACCGCTGATTTATGAGATTTACTATTTTATACGTAACGTGACATTTATTTTTACCATTTATCACGAGAGATTTATGAACGTAATAAATCTCCACATGTTTACGAAAGCTAGGGTAATAGAAAGATATACTTATTCGATGTAAATAATCTCATGATATTTTTTGTCATTACTATTTTTATTATGAACGTTTATACGAATAAATAAATTTATCATTATTTTATTGTGTATTTCCTTCAATTTCCCTTGCATTCAAATTATTACTAGGCAGAACAAAACACGCGGAATTATCGCTAAGTTCAATCGATTGTAAATTAATCAATCGAGTGTGAATTCATCAGAACAAATTGTTAATTAACCTTGAGATGATGGATATGGACTTCGAGGATTTCGCGAGTCTTCAGTTGGATCGACCAATGCTACAAGCCCTCAGAGTAATTTTCATTTCTAATTATTTTCAATGACTCCATTTTTTGTAAATCTAGTTCACGCTTCTCCAGACAGAAGATCAGATTAAAAAACACACGTTAGAACAATTTCTGGAGGAAAAACCAGTCGACCGAGCTCTCCACCTATTTCTGTGAGTAAATTCAATCCCAAAATGTTATAAACAATTACCCATCGTCAAAAAGATCTCAAATTTTCCATTTCCACAACTTCTCGAAGAACTTTCTTCCCATGAATGAAAAACCGATAAACAATATCAAGTGCTACCGAAAAATCCTCCAATCAACCCTTTCTAATTTGTTAATTAACAAATGAATTGAGAGGAGTTTGCAGTTTATTGCAAAAAAAATGGAAGACACGAGTTGTTCATCGCTTGGCAGTAAAAAAAAATTAATTCGCCCGACGAAATCATTCCAATGATAATAATAATCGAATTACGATGTTATAAACAATTACCAATCCTCAAAAAGATCTCAAATTTTCCATTTCCACAACTTCTCGAAGAACTTTCTTCCCATGAATAAAAATCCGATAAACAATATCAAGTGCGACCCAAAAATCCTCCAATCAATCCAATCAACCCTTCCTAATTTGTTAATTAACAAATAAATTGAGAGGAATTTGCAGTTTATTGCAAAAAAAATGGAAGACACGCGCTGTTCATTGCTTGGCAGTAAAAAATAATGAATTCCCCCCACGAAATCACTCCAATGATAATAATAATCGAATTACGATGTTATAAACAATTGTTTATAAACCGAAATCCCTGTAATTTCGTGCGTCGTATAACTTTAGAAAATAAAACCGTTTTTTCACTGGAAAAATTGATTCGAAAGCTCGGCGGCACGTTATTCCACCGTGATTGGCCACCCAGTGGGTGAAGCCTCGTATTCACTCGTGTGTCTTCGTCATGCCTCCAGCAGCTGCAGCGCTTCTGCTGGCGTTACAGCACGGGTCATACAGTATCCGTACCCATGCAGAGATCACGTCATATTTTTTTTCACTACCTCCAATACGTGATGATTCAGAGATACCCCCAAACGCTATTCTGAGATTCCAGATGATGTCCGAATATTTAAACAGTCGCGTTATATCACATCAGTCGACAGTTTGACAACGAGTGACAGGAGTTCATTGATAAATTATACGATTGATTAAAATGAGCGTGAAAAATGTGGCAAGAGGAGGGAGCGGCTCCCTTCGATGATACCAATACGTACGTGTTATTTTAAGATATTTTAATATCAATTGTTAATTTGTTATTCATGGAATTTTTTTATTGCTCCGAAAAATATTCGGTTTATTTCTACGACTCGAATCGATGGAACTCGTTTCTCTCTTCTGTTGGTCCTCGTCGTCTAAAAATAAACATTCCAACAATTTTGAGTGTCCCTCCTGCACGTTAAGCAGCTAATTATAATTCTTCGTTGATTACGACGAATTGTTTATCTCTTATTTCTTGTTCTCTATTTTTCCAAAAATAAAGTTGCGGATTCATCGAGTTTTTTCGCGTTTCCCATGATTCTTCATTATTTTTTTATAATTATAGTGAGGAAGGTCAGGCATCCGTTGTAACTTAACCGCATGGTGTTTATCAATTTATTTATTTAATTATTTATTCTGTGTAAAACGTATTGTTATCAAGAATTTCCCGATTTCATCCGGAAAAATTCAATTAGTGATGTGTTAATTGGATTTAATTATTGAATTATGAATTATATTGATTTGAGCGTACGTTTGGGCGTGATTAATTTGTTAATGACTGATTTTATTTTCTGGAATTATTAATAATCGTGAGACTATTGATTCGCAGAAAGGGAGATGACATCCAGAAATTAAATGCGATCCAGACCCTGCCGATTCTCTTATCAGAAGATCCACAAACATGCATTCAGAGATTGATACCGAAAATGCAGCAAACCCTGCCGAATGCATCAACGGAATTTCACGTTGCGGCATCATCGACATTCAAGACTATTCTCGAGCAAAAGCTCGTAAGCCCCTCGACATTCACCCAGACATTCCTCCAGAGCATCCTCAATTCACTGGACACACGGGATCCAGGTGATTGAATAAGTAAATCATTGCACGATTGGATAAATCCATCAGACCTCATATTTCAACGGCTTCAATTCATATTATCTCACATTATTATTACTATTACGTAAAAATTCCTCTGTCAATATTTGTCTCTGTTTTTCATTCGTCGTGGGACAGTACTGGCCCATGCATGGCTGGAGACCTTACTGGATGTGATCGAGTTACTTCCAACGGATGTCATCCGGCGAGAGGTGAGTCTCGGTCTCTCAATCTTTCGACAATTCAAATTATGAAATTGAATTATTTTTAGATTCTTCCTGTCGCTGTTATCAAGGGCCAGCTGTCGCAGCCTGTTGGCTCTAGGATTATGTGTTGCAAAATTATTGGCAAAATATCCACACGATTTGATTCCCAACTGTGAGTTCCTCATATTCCCTTTACCTTTATCATCATTTTATATTCATTACCACTTTGATTCACCCCGAGAATATAAACAATTCATAATTATAAATAATTTATATTGTTTCGTTAAATCCACTCTTTTGATATTAATCAATTATTCGTCTTTTACCCGAATGAAATTAATTAATTAATGAATGTAATCAATTCTAGAATCCGAGATAAAATCTTATAATTCTTTTTCTCTCCCTGAAAAATTTGGGAAAAATGGTATATCCGGTTTTAAATGGAGGAATTAAAGCTAGTATTGAGTCCCAGGGGATTTATGGATAATTTTTGTTGCAGATTGAAAAAAGAAGTGCTTCCAACAGTGCATTCCCTCTGCCAGGATGTGAACAGTGATGTGCGTGCATGCATTTGCCTGCAATTGCATTACGTTGCCGAAAGCCTTGGTGGTGAATCAGTAACGGCCTCATTGTTACCATCCATTGTGGAATTGGCCAGTGATGAGGAGAGCATTGTGCGACATGCTTCTATTCAGACAATAGTTTACCTTCTACCTCACCTACAAGCAGGTATTCTCCTCAAGTACTTCACGATCAAAAATAAATCTTTTGAGCACCATCTCAGACGAACCAATCTACCGTGTCTTATTTCCAATTGATTGTTGTAAACTTCGACTCCTTACTATCGCAAGACCTTGATAAAAGACCGGTTTTCATGATTATTCACGGATATTTCAATTCAATATCAATCCACTGTTGAGTGGGTTTGATTATTCAGGGAAATTCTTATCGATCTCATCGTAAAATGTCGTCGCATCAAGTTTTTTTTGCCTTTACTGCAGACTTGTTAATTCTCTCTTTAATTCAGATAATTACAGCTACATCGCTGCATGGAGATTAATAAAAATATGATTATTTGTTGCTAATTTCAATTGAAAAAAGGAGAAACGTTGATTGACGTCGGTATCTACCATCGAATTCGATTATTAAAAATCCTGTAAAAGGTTATCCGTAATGATAGGAATTCCCCAACCATAATTCCATCATTATAATATCGATACGATTCTTCTGGATTCATTGCAGACGTAATAAAAAGCACGATTTCCCCGCTGATAAAAAAGTCATGCGACAGTGCCCTGAAGTCGGACGACGCGGTGATCTGCATAATCTCCCAGGAGTTTGGAAAGCTGGCCCTCGGCCTGGAGAAGGTGTTGACCCCGCCCGAGCGGACATGGCTGGTGAAATACTTCCGTCAGCTATCCGAATTGGGAATGTCAGGTCCAAAACAAGCGGTTGATAAACAAGACTTGCCCTTTTCAAGCAATTCAATGCTGACGGAGCGCTACATCGAGTGCCGAAAGCATTGCGCTTACAACATGCCAGCAATGTTTCTATTCGCCTCGACAAGTCCAGATGACACAGACATGCTCCTGCCTATTCTAACGGACCTGTCAAGCGATCCATATCACTTGGTCCGGAGGAACGTTGCATGTGGACTCCACGAGATCGCTAGGATAATGGGTGATAAGAACGGATCGATAAAGTGTGACTTTATGAAACTCGTGAAGGATGACAATGAGCAGGTGCTTCAGGGGCTTGTACCGAACATCGGCAAGACCCTTCAGCTGTTCGTCGAGAGTCAAACAATCAGCAAAGACAGCATTGACTTGCCAGTGATGGAGATGGGGAGAGCGTTGTTGAAGTGCGAGGGTGAAATATTTGGCACGAATAACTGGCGGCTCTCGAGTCTCATGTTTCAACAGCTTGAGGTGCTGCCCAAGTGTTTTCCCAGTGATTACATCTACAATTACTTCGTTCCTGTTGCACTTAATCGTGCTCTCAAGGCTCGTCCTATACCCGTCAAGCTCGCCGCTGGCAGGACCTTCCTTGTCTTCATTAGGTACAACCTCAAGCCCGCCCAGAGAACAGAACTCAGGAATAAATTGTACACCGATTTGTCGAGGAACACCAGTTGCTACGTCAGGATGCTGTATATTCGGATGATGATTGAGGCGATGGGCATCTTCTCGTCGGTTTATTTCAAGGAGCACTTCTTCAGCGGTCTTCTTGAGATGACTGAGGATCCGATCGCTAATATTCGGCTTAAGGTGGTCACTCTTCTTCCGGGGCTTAAGGGATTGCTCAAGCTGCCGTCTGATAAGAAGCTTCTCAGTCGGTTTGAGGCCAGTGTCAGGGGACTGATGAATAATGAGAAGGATAGGGATGTCATTGTGGCTCTCACTGCAATCATCAGGAAACTCGATGAAATCGATGTCAGGCATGAGGGGCAACCGGTGAGCCGCGATTTAAATCTTCATTCTTCCTTCTATGATTATCCTTCTTTTTGTACTTTGTCTTTAGGCGACGGCGAAGTTCATTAAACAGGACAACGAAGACATGAAGAAGTACGACGAAGAAAAGACCTTATCGGCGATCTCTGGAAAGACTTTGGTGTCATCGGGGGGGCAGGCGGTTGTCAAGAAATCAGGGAGTCAGAATATTATCAGTAAACAGAACCCTGTCTTGAATGATACGGCGAGGAGCTTGTAAGCATACAATTCCATCATTTGACCAATACTTCCTTTTTGAAGTTTGGATGTATCATAATTGGTTATTGACTCTATTTAATAGCATGCCGGGGCCGAAGGTCAGACCGAGTTCTTCAATATCAGATAGCGCAAAATCCACATCCAGACGTGAGTTTCCTATGATATTCATAATTCATTCTCAACACGAAATAACATATGATACTCATGAATTGAGGAAACGTTGAGTCACTTTGTTTTTCTATTTAGAGACCCCAAGCACTTCGAGGAATTATGAATTGGCGAAGGCAAGGTAATTTGTCAAAATATTCTTGGGACTCAATTATCAATTTTTCCTATTCATATTTAATTCACTCACTATTTTCATATAATAAATGGAGACCCTTCCCTAACCTTCCCTCAATGTAATTAAAATAACCATTAACCATCAACCTTAACGAAAAGAGATTAACGAAGAGAGATTAATCCACTAGAAGAATTGGATCCTAACAATGATTAACAAAAACTTGATATTCTCGGAACGGCTGCAGTTCTCCGAGTACCTCAAGCAACAACTTAACCTCGAGCTGGGCGCGATTAAAGTCGAATAGCTTGATACTAACCCACCTCTGGGAAAAAACTGACTACCCAAATCCCCCATCATCAAGTGATTATCTGCAAAGGGTGACCTGCAGTTGTTACGATACAACAGCCTTTCTGTATCCCTCACGCTTCACCCTCTCCACTCCTTGCTCGCTGGACTACAAGACCTGCCCTTGTGCCAGCGATCAGCCTCAAAAATTGAAGACCAATTTGAGAGGGTCTAGCTACTTCGATACTTCTGTCCTAACAAATCCCCTGCTACTAACACAAACCAAAGACGAGACTGGTGATGATGAGGAGCGTTCCTTCAACAGCCCCAAGTCCCCGAATTTGGCGGCCCTCAGGGCGCTGACTAATGCAGCTCATTACAACTCCTGTTGGGCTTTTAGCTCGATGCCAGAGATACCGGTGACTCTTCTTGATGATGAGTTCCTTGTGGACACTGGGGTGAGGATTCCAGAGCTGTTGTCATCATCCAGGAGCAGCACGAAGATATCCAATCTTCAGGACATCATCCACAGGAACAACAGGATTGGAAGTGGATCCGACAGAGGAAAGGCCAAGAGCCACTTCTCCGTGCACGATGAATGCATCAAGAGAACGTCCAGGTCAGATCAGGGTTACGTCAGCAATCGGTTGTCCATGAATCTTCAGGATGGCTACAGGAGCAAGACCTCCGTCGAGGATGATCTGAAGGGGAAGAGGTACTCGTTCTCCAGGGGAAAGGGCAAATGGAGCTTTGACTCCGTGATCGAACGCAAGACCAGTGACAAGGAAAAGAGATCGTCTTTCAATGTCGTGGAGAGGGAGAAGAGGGTCTCCCAGCAAGTGCGTGGGGTTGTTGACAAGAGCAAGAGGCACTCGACGAATTATGGGTCTAAGCCACCGGAGCTCAAGGATTGTAAGCAGAAATTTAAGAGGCACAGTGTGGAAGTCACGGATTACCATCCGATCGAGAAGTCCAGCAGGAAGAGGAATTTTACGCTGGATGTTAATCATAATCAGGGGAGCAGCAAGATTCCTTTGAGGAATTCTGCGCCATCTGGCAGTAGAACTGCACCTGTGACGAGGGCCTCCAGCCCCGTCAGGCTCACGCATCAGCTAAGCTTCAGTCGAGAGCCCGAACGGGATGTCTATGATGATAGGGTCAATAGGTTCAATTCTAGCGATGAAGAAGTCGATAAACTCTGTATTAGATTCGCGTATGTCGATTCTGAGTACGTGAGGGAAAATCCGAGGAATAAAATCAGCAAGCTACCCGTGTGGGTACCGAGGAAGAATAAATAGCTTTTCGTTAATTTCAGAAATCAATGAGAGGCGAAAAAAATACTGCATTAAAATGGTTCATATTCATGGATTGCTGTGAAATAAAATCACGGCGATTTAATGATGATTAATAATTCTTAGAAAGGTTTAAACACACGAGGTGATCGATCTGGCCGCCATATTGATTCCAGCGTGAACAATATTATTGATGAGCTCTACAATATTTCAGCGCCAAAACAGCTATCGCCCACCTTGGATGTTTAATTATTTTTTTTATCCATTTGTTGTCGCGAGATTTTCATGAAATTTTTTTGTCGTAATCTTTCGATGGGAGATATTTTCATGCGATATTTCTTTTCACCTCTCGCCTTACAGATTTCTTAATCGAGTCATTTTTATCGTATCGTCTTTCTGTTCGTGTTTTCACGATCGATAATTGCGTTTAATGGAACCATTAAAAGGTCGGAATCTTCTAATGAGCAAAATGTGTACCTGAGGGATGACTAAATTGTGTAAAAAATTCCAACTTACCTTCGTTTTTCAACAGAAGAATCACAGGGTAAATTTCTACCAGCATTTTTAAGTTTGGCATTTTATTTCGAAACCGATGATCTATATCATTGAATTTTATTGAAATCATCATGACTAGTTAACTCATCGGGACAAATCCATAGATGAGCGGAATAATAATAAAACGCATTAGATGTGCTTAATCATCGAAATCAACAAATAATGCATAGACTTGAATATTTCATTTGAAAACGGGCGAAACCAGTATTTGAGTTAGAAATAGAAATAAGATAGTGCAAACTAATAAGTGTAAACAAAGCATAATTTTCGTTGATAATTCAATATTCTAATGAGTTAGAATTAATTTTACCCTACACTCATAATTTTTTGATACTTATATCGATGACGAGAGCTTCCCGATGTGAAATTTAATTTAACCACACGTGCAATTGTGCAGTTGATAGTTTAACCCATGATTCTCCTTAACGAAAGCAACTTGTAAATTTTAAATGAATTAAAAGATAATTTATGAATGAAAAAAATTATAAACAAATATGTATAAATTGAAAATAGAAATTCCAATGGAAAGAAATTATTATAGATTCCTTATGGCATTTGTCATTTTTCGTTGACTCTCAGATGAGTTCTGTAAATTAAAATTTCTATTTTGTATTGAGATTTATCAAAGAATTTCGCTTGCAGAAGTAAAAAGAATTGAGCGAGTGCGATACATCGGATCATTGAATAGTCAAGGGTCAACGGCAGAGAAAATAATAAGGAGGTGATGGAAAGCGATGAGTTACAAGAGAGCAAAACAAACTGTTTATTTTTGTATAGAAATCTATCCTGTTCGGTGACCTATGTGCCAGAAATACTATACGTATGTACAGATGAAATAAGAAAATGTTAATGTAGAGATTAATCTATGAGTGTTGAGTTGAGAGGGGAGACGTGAGGATATTAATTAATTAATTGATAAATTTTAGAGAAAATACTGTCTTAATGAAAAATCCTGCAATCTCCTGTGTCCATTCTAGAATTTTGTTGAAAAATACACTTATCTGTGATAACTTAAAGAAAATTATTAATCAATTATTTCAAACCAAAAATGATGATTTTAATTTCTAAAGGTCATGAAGGACAAATTTTTATTATTATTTTTTTTTTCGATGTTTATTTCCTCTACTCTGCAGTAATAACCCAAAAAATTCATTCACTACAATTCCCTTGACATCTCGTTATCTCTACACATCATGTGTTTCACTCTTGAATAATTCAATAACTTCATCTCTCTTATTAAAATTCTCATTGTGCTTGCATGATTGGAGAACATGATAATAATTTATAAAATTTTCTATCATGTTGGCGTGGAGCAGGCAGCAATTGCCACCGATCGATCTCGATTTGAAAGTTATTTTGGTATGACGTTCTTAATAATCGAATATTACTTCAAGATCTTTTCAAATCTAATCCAATAATATGAGCAAATGTTAAGAAGCGATCGTGCAAATAATTCGATAAATAAATAAGTGATTCACTCGTTAAACTTCATTTAATCACGAGTAAACAGAGAGATCTTCACACAATCGCTTCTCGGAACAGACGCTTAAGACAGAATCATCAAAATTATATAATTCATTTTCCTTTATGTACAACTATGAAAAATCAGTTGGCATCGATCCCTTAAAACGATAGGATGAATAAAAAACGTTGAAATAAAAATTCTACCACCAATATTTACATGAAGTCTACCACCGGACAGTTTCCAGTTCCTTTACTTCATCAATTGCAATATCATTGGTACTTAATTATTTTAAAGATATGGTTCGTTAAAAGCCAGTATACATTTCAATCTCTTGCAACGATTGGACTTTCAAATTTGTGATTATCTTTTGTATAACTTTTATACTTTTTTTCAAGCTCGAGAATTCTCCAAACGAGATTATCGAATCCCATACTAGCAGTAAGCTGTGATTAATCTATAGTATTGTTTATAATTTTCATCAAAATGAAAATTTCACAATTAAATCTCCCACTGATTATAACGATGAGAAGAAAAAAATTGATTTCATTGATAACTAATTGATTGGATCGATGCTGTTATCTATTAATCATTTCATTAAATCCAATTAAGTTACTCTCATCGTTTGGTTAATCATATATTATTGTATCTGGCTTTTTAGTACTACGTTGTTCCACTCGCGATAAAAATATATTATAGCTATAGTACTTAAACTGTTGACTAGCATTTAGAATGAACGTGACTCCCAATTAATCAGTCATCAGCAATGTCTTAAATTTTTCGTTGCGACGTTTCAAAAATAGGCCGTTTTAACTTAAAAACGAGTGGATCCGGACAACTGTCCATCAATAATTATTGAAACATAATTGGGAATCACTAGAAATTAAAATGATAGCGTTTATAATTATCGATACAGTACTTTTAGGAGTTATTTCGACTATTCATGCCTACGATGGTTTTTTTTTTTTAAATACCGTGGAATCTAGGGACTCCAGAATTTTTAGAATCCAAACGGATGCGAAATACAATATTCGATCATCCAGTCTTAATACTAATCTCGTATCGTGTACCTGAAATATTTCACGTGGCGCTTGATTCAATGCATTCCCAACGCTATCAAATATTTACTTTTAAAGATCATAGAGGAATTGCCTTTGTAGATTGTTCTCATTAAAATTTCACTATTGAAAATTATTAAAAAGATATAGATTAATGTTCCCGTTGATTTTCTCTTTTTCTCATATTGATTCAATAATTTTCCAGGCGTTTATCATGATTTTGTAATTGAAGGGAATAAAAAATTAATAATCAAGGGGATTTCTCATCAGAAATTCATCCTTATTCATTCCACTTCATTACGAAACCACAGCCTCATGTTTCTCAGTCTTGTGGTAATACTAATTTAATACTTTTTCGTTTGTTCTCATTGTGATTAATCTCCATCGGTGCATTAAAAATCATCACTCGTGCATTATCTTAACATATTCGAGTTTAAAAAATTGAAACAAACGTATTTACTCTCCATAAACTATCTATCTTTGAGTTTTGCTCGTATTTTTTGATATATTCAAATTATTGTCACTATTGACGTGATTTCATTGGAATTCATCATTAATTCGTTAAAATGGCGAAGCAATCGTTAAATCGTGTTTTTAAAATTATTGTACACTAGCCAATTGCATTGACAAGCCATAAAACTATTAAAACACTCGGCACGTATAACAGGAAAAAAAAATCATCGAGTCGCGAATAAATAAATAATAAATAAATTATCGGAAACATAATAGTCAACTGTGCTTAGGAATGAATAATGCCACATGTTTTCTCATCTCATGAACTTGTTAGTAGAATTTAAATATCAGAAATTACCGAGACGCTAATTTTTTTTTTTTTATAAAAAACCGTTAGGTTGAGTAAAACCCTGTTGAATTCTATCTGACACGTGTGAAATAATTTAAAAATTCTATTGACTTTCTGTTAAAACTCCAAACAGATTGAATTTTAAAACAGGAAAATACGACTCCAGGATTTTCATGGAAAGATAAAAATCCATTGATTTTTCAAATGAAAAATGGCACAAAGGAAATTATTAAAAATGTCAATAGAGTTTTAATAAAAAATCAATAGAATTCCCTAGGAAATGGTTTTCTATTAATTTTCATCACGTGTGGAGCCTAAACCTCCAATTTTTCCGATTCACACATCACACATTTCATGAGAGAAAATTCCTTAAAGAAAGTCCATCACATCGTCGAAAGTATGGGACAGAATTACGTATTTTCGTTTTCATTTTAAGTTATTAAACCTAGGGCAGGAGTCACACTATACAACTATTATCATTCGTATTGAGCATATTTGAGAAACAATTCAATTGGTTGTGTTCCATAGAAGCGATTGACCGTTGAATGGCAATAAAAATGTGTCTACGGGAAGACATATTTTCACCAGAAATATTGAGATATTGGCAGTGATAATAATTGGCGCGTTGTATTTTGCATGAAGAAATCAATATAAGCGACCTAATTCGATTTCGCTCAAATCCAGATCCTCGATCTCCAATACCTCGAGAATGACAGAGTACCGTCCCTAGATTTTTTTCTACATCTGAGGTGTTCTCTCTGTTTTTAAAATAACACAAATCCCATCAAAATCGATTCATTCAATCCGGAGATATTGTCGATCGAAGATCGCACGTATGAAACAATTTAATAGAAAAACCTTGCGCTTTCTCTGAGAAATTCTTTTGAATTCCTCTGAGAATTCTATGAGATACTCGAGAATATCTAGAGAAGAAATGGCAATTTTCCTTTCGAAATCTTTTGTAATAATATAAATATTACACCGCCTTAATTCATTTTCCAATAAAAAAAAATATGAAATTTGTTCTGAAATTTTAAGATAAATTTTCCAAAAGTGAGACCTCCAGAAAATTCCCAAGATTATCTCATAGAAAGGCTGTTTTTCTATTAGGGAGTTTTGTGGTCAATTCAGGTACTAATGGCGCCACAGGGCCACGCACTTTTCAACGCATCAAACAAGGACAGCGAACACTGCCATCTTGTTCAATGCAAATGAGTGCAAAATGGCGTGGGCCATATGCGTGAGTTTAGCAAAAACTCCCTGATAACCTTCGACTTAAATTCAAATATCACTGACATCGGGGAACAAGAACCGCTGCCTGGATGTCTGTGGCTGCTCAAAAGGCGAGCTACTCATATAACCAGGCGACGGTGACTCGCTCTTCTCCATGACTGGAGTGATATTTGGAAAGCCCTGTCCGCTGCTCCTGGCTTGTTCATTGAGAATGGCACGATCAATTTTATAATACTCCTTTCCACTCCTGGGTCTCAATGTAGTGGTAACGGCACGACCGCCCTGACCCCTCAAACTGTCCGGAGCATCCGATGATGAATGAGAAGACAGAGACAGGGTCTCAATATAGTCAGACATATCGGAAGTTCCACTGCTGGTGCTCCTGGAGTCGATGTAAGGTGTTCCTGAGGCCTCGCCAGGACTGCTAAAGCCCTTGCCCGTGGCCTTCGGTAGACCCGGTATTTCACCCTCAGCGGATGACGACTTGGTCGGCACCTGGATCTTCTGGAACTGGAAGGACAACTCCCTCAATGGATCACTGGACTTGGACTTCCTGGGTAGACTGCTGTGATAGCAAATGGGCGGTGGACTCTTCCTGCAGACGGTCAGGATATTCTGCTTGCGTGTCGAATTGATCGGCGCGAGGGACAACTCGAACTCCACGAACTCGGCGTTTCGATGACTCAAGGAGCCCGTGGAAACGCCAGAGTCATTGCTGCTGGAGGAGTCCCGATTGTGACCAGTCTTCGAGGGCACCGATGACGATCGTCTAATCTTGATGGAAAAAGGCTGACAAGCGCTCTCTTCGTTTTTAATGACAGTCTTGCTAGTCTCGCTTGGACACTTGTGGATTTCCAACGCCGAGGAGAACCCCGGGCTCTCCTCCGGTGTCTGATAATGCGCCGACTCAGCCGAATATGATCTCTTCCTCCAAAGAATCTCCAGGCTAGCGCTGGACTCGATGGCTTGAGCAGGATCGATCAACCGGCGCCTCAAGTAAGGACTCGACAGCATAGCCGAGCCCGGAATCCGTAATTCTGAATCAGATCGCTTACGGGTCGAGGTGGACTCCACAGGAGGTCCAAAAAGCGTCGGATTGCTCGAGCTTTTTGTCCCGCTGTAGATGCGGGATAGGACTTCCTTGGAGCAGTGGTTGTGCGCCGGTTGCATCGGCAAATAACTCGAGAACGCCTTCTTCACGAGCTGCTTATCCGGATCCATGAGTAGATAATCCGGTGAGTTCTCCTTCATGTGTCCGCACTTGGTGCAAATCTCGTCGTCCTTGATCTTCTCCGTTGATCCTGAAGACTTCCTGCAATCGTCAGGCTTGAGCTCGCATGCGATCTCCTGAATCTCCTCCTGGGTGATTCCACTCTTCGTGATGACATCTCTGCTGTTCTCGTAGTGCTCCAGGGACTCGCTGAAGTCGATGTTCACGTAGTTTGATTTTGACTCGGGCTGGGTCTCGATGACGGGTGTGAGGTTCTCGTAGTTGTTGTTGATGGGTTCTTCTCTTGTTGTGATATCAGTCTTAGCACCCTTTGAGAGTGGATAGATGGCGACTTCACCGCTGGCATTGACCACCGGCATCTTGCCTTGACCTGAGAGCTTGATGGGATGGACAGTGACACCGGACTCGATGCCAGCTCCACGTCGACAATACGGCAGGACAAAACCAGCCCAGCTCATGACATTGTGACAGGGACATGCCGATCTTGGAGACTGAGCTGGTAGTTTGCTGGGACAGCCGCACTGCTGAAGAACTACAGCTTGTGAGTTGTAAGGCGTATCGTAGTTCGGATAATTTTGATTCTTTGGTAATGCAAGGCACTCCTTTATCTTCCGTGGAGTATCGTAGTACTGATCTTGTGTTTGTGGCGGCTCCAGGGACATGTGGTGTGCCAAGATTGTCTTGGGGATGTCGTAGTTGTCGTAAGGATCGGGTTTCCTTGGTGTTTGGACAGCGGTCGTGCAGGTGCAGATTTTATCGGGAAGAGGCATTGGAGGCTTCTTAGGTTTCAGTCGGGTTGAGGGCGGTCTCGGGGGTAGAGGTAAATCTACTGTGTCTTTCGGAGGTGCGTGAGGGCTCTCGGCGGTAACGTTAGGATTAGGTTTGGTAACGCTGGGATTAGGCTTGATAACGCTGGGATTAGATTTGATAACGCTGGGATTAGATTTGGTAACGCTAGTATCGGTTTTGGTAATGATTGAATTAGGTTTGGCGCTGGTATCAGTTGTATTTGAAGGAAAGGTCGAGTAATCACTGTCGTGACTACTGGTACTGTAGGATGATAGGGATATTCTGTCGAAACCCTTCGGTGGATTCACCGAGGTGTTCATAGAGGTGTGCGTTGAGTTGGTGATAAAGGTCGAGGTCTTGGAGACTGCACCGAGTTTGCTGATGCAACTGGCGCAGCGCTCCAAAACCGAGCTGTGCTGTCTTGGCAATGTGCTCCGCCATTCTAAGGATTCATTTTTATCAGTCAACTCGTTTATCGATCCCCCAACCTCTCGATAGTCACCGTCTAGCTCCACATTGTGACGGCTCTCAGTTGAGGACCAACACGGAGATGTTTCGGTTTTAGTCAAGTCCGTATCGTCTTTGTAAGTCGTAGAATATACGGTTGGGGGGAAAAAATCACTGGCACGCGTGTCAGAACGTGAGAACTGACGTCTGGGGCTGTCCTGCACTGATAATTCACGGATGATTGGTCGTTTACGGGACAGCTTGCCCTCTGCCGCCAGCTGCAGTGCTTTGACGATATCATCGCCCTGATCTGTTATGAGCACGTGCAACCCTTCGCCACGACCACAACGTGAGCCACCCTCGAAGCAAAATCTACCCTCAACTACGCCATAACGACGGAGATGCCCTATTTCCCAGACACCGATTAGTCGTGGGGGCACTCCAACGGTTATGCAGAAGCGACCGTCTTGGATGTGGAGGTGGGCTGGGCCCGTTGATACTTTAGCTTTTGCTGGGGCTGTGGATATCAGCACCAGAAATTGTTGATCTGGAAGGTGCCGGGTGTTAACGACCCATCGGATTAGCCTGATGGCGCTGGTCCGCGCGGTGGAGATTGTTATCCTGATATCAATATCAGTATCCCCCCAGTGGAAAAATTATTATCGATAGCTTAATACCAGAGAAAGTCAACTAATTAATTCATTGGATTATAGATTAATCATTAAGCTATCGATATTTGTGATTGTGGTAGGAATGAATTCAGTAGAAAAATTATGTGACTATTTTTAATTGTCCTATAGATTTTTCTATTGAATTTTTATGGATATGTCGCTTTTTATGATCGGCTAGAGGAATAGAAGAATGGAATATCGAGGAAATCGGAGATAAATGAATGGAGATGTTTATCGTGATATGAATATCAGTACCCCCCAGTGGAAGAATTGTTATCGATAGCTTAATAGCAGATAAAATCAACTAATTAATTCATTGAACTATAAATCAATCATTAAGCTATCGATATTTGTGATTATGGTAGGAATGAATTCAGTAGAAAAATTATGTGACTATGTTTAATTGTCCTCTAGATTTTTCTATTGAATTTTTATGGATATGTCGCTTTTTATGATCGGCTAGAGGAATATAAGAATGGAATATCGAGGAAATCGGAGATAAATAAATTCGGAATAAATAAATGGAGATGTTTATGGAGATGAATATCAGTACCCCCCAGTGGAAAAATTGTTATCGATAGCTTAATACCACAGAAAGTCAACTAATTAATTCATTGGACTATAGATTAATCATTAAGCTATCGATATTTGTGATTATGGTAGGAATGAATTCAGTAGAAAAATTATGTGACTATTTTTAATTGTCCTCTAGATTTTTCTATTGAAT